TGAGACGCGGGGTGGCAGTCGACAACTAAATAATTATATGCCTTGTTGACAACCTCTTTTTCAAATACGTCGCGAAGCTGACGCCAGCGCTTGGGATCGATTTGCCTCCAGAAAATATCGACCTGACTTCTGTCGCGGGGGCTGCGGAACAGGACGAAATAATGCGCGTTGACGGAAACACTTTTAAAATTCCTACCAGGGGTGAAAATATTGTGCAGGATCAGAACCAGACTTTGCGACAAGTGGTGTGTGCCCATAATCGCCGCTTTATATATAGCATCGCTGTTGGCCGCCTCCTTTGAACAGTCATCACAGATTATCAAACTATTGCGGGGAAACACAGAGAGGGAGGAGGGAAGGCCGCGGTGAAATCTAATGCCCTTTACATCCTTCAACTCGTCTCGCGGAACAGAGCTCTCGCCCGCCTCGTAACACCAAATAATTGCGTCAAACTTATTTCTATACACATATTCAGAGTGCTTAACTAGACGTATACAAAAGCTAGACTTCCCACTCATACTAGCGCCAAAGAGGACGCTGCTGCTGGGATGTTTAAAACCGGTTGGGTTGGACATGTTGGGCCTTCTGACTGACGACACACTCACCGGCCCATATATACCTTAATCCGTTTTAATTGCGTGTAAGATGTCTGCCGCGTGTTTTATCAAATTCATCCCCGATGTTAAACCCAAATAAAGGCTTTGAAACTGAGGAACCCCATCCTCTTCTACAAAGACATCGTCTCGCTCCAAGATGATAAAAGGCTTGTCTCGCAGCTTTATAAAGTGTATCACATGGCTAGATATACGTTCACTGGCATTAGGGTGATAATCTACCTCACCACTAAGATGGTAGCAAATCTTTTTACAAATGGCCCTATTCTCGAAAAGGTCTTCAATTTCTGCGCGGGTAAATTCTTCTAAAAAAACATTGTCCTTTGTAATGCGGGCAACAGGCTCGCCACCAACGCACGAATATATGGTGAGCTTCTTTTCAGTCCAACCGTTGAGGGTAATGCTGAGCTTCTGCGCTAGCATGGTCCACGCCGCTCTCGGTATCCGTAAGGCTCGACCTCCTTTTCAGACAATACGAAATTTTTGTCATCAAAATTAGAAAGGCTGATGCGGCTTAATTGTTTGGTGTATAAGTCAAAACCATCTGATTCTATTTTTGTTGCCATGTGCCGCATTCGCCGCGGGCCCTCAACACAGCTGTGAAAATCTTCCTCAGTAACACGCTTTTCCACAGCCCGCCTACAAAGTCCTTTGACCTTTTTAGTGATGTGCTGATCCGCGGTTTTAATTAGATACATTTTACTTCTGAGGCAGTAGCAAACCTCAATTGGTGTGCCACCATATTGGTCTTTCATCAGCATCATTCGCTGATAACCATCCGGAGAATATAGAAAGTGCTGCTTGTCGTAGTTTGAGGTATCTAGGAATTCTTTAATTTCGGCCATCTTTTCGTAGAAGTGGGGGTCGTCGACTCTAATCAAAACCGAGTCCGTGTCAGCGTAATAGACACGCACTCTAGGGCCAAACAGAGGCTTTAGACGATCATAGAAAAAAGAATAAAACAAGAGTTTGCTAAGATCTAGAATCGAAAAACCAGTAATTAGCATTCGGTCTAAGGTTACTTTTTTTGGTCTGAATGTGAGCAGCGACAGGTTTTCATTTACTATGTGCCAGTTGGTAACATTTCGAGTCCTAAAGCTTTTTTCAAATTTCTCCTTTGAATATATTAAATCCAATTTCTGGTATTTAAATTTTTGAAGTGTAAAGTTTCCATATGTGGAGTTATTTGCAGCCTTGGCAGAGTCTCCCTCAATCTTGCTTGTGGCCTGCTGGCGTAAAATGTTGTTGTACAGCACCCAGTCCTTAAGCCAAAAGGCTTGATCAAATGAAATAACTTTGGATATTTTCTTAATGCGCATGCCAAGTCGAAGGTAAAATATTAAAACTTCACCATGTAGCAAAACGTTTGTTTTGTCACGCTGTGATGCGAGGAGTTTTCTAACTCCCTTGGGATATCTTAAATTAAACCGTTTTAGAAACTCCCTATTAAACGGGCTTAAATCCTCGTATGTTACAATTTCATTGGTCGGACACAGTGGAAGATATCGCGTGTATTCTTTTATTTCGTCGGGATACTCTAGGTCGACTAGCAGCAGGTAACCCGTTGCCCCGTCGTGTTTTATTAAGCCAATATCAAATTTTTCGGGCTCGGACACAAAGCGATAATTTCCAGTAGGGTATTGGAAATTGTATTGCGTGCTCGAGTAAAGGCTGTTATAATCCCACATACTCAGGTAAGATATTTCTTTTGTCGGATCAAAATCCTTTACAAGTGGATTATTCGCCCTCCAATACCTCCCAAATGCATTGGCCAGTCCACCCCTTATGTTTAGGGCCACAAGGCTGTACATGTTGTAGTCCGTCATTAATTCAATTCTTTGATTGCGCAGTCTAAACAAGCAGACGTTGTAGTAATATTGGGCGGCTGTCATAAAGTTTGAGGGGCATAGTTTGTAGTTTTGGAGATTTTTAGAACAAAACGACGTCCAAATACAGGACAATAACAAAACATCAACTAAATTATAAAATCGGAGGTAATCTGACAGCGTTTGACATCCCATAACCTCAAATACGCGCTGTGCGTGGGCATACTCATCTTCCGATATACACTCATCTGTTAGACTGGAATAAAAACATTCCCGCGGGGGAAGGGATGTCTCGAGCAAGACCTCGGGCGAGGTGAGATATTCATAAAAAAAATAACCTTTTTGGCGCATTAATGCACGCTGCGTCTCGTCTGTAAAGTATTCATCAAATGTGGCAAATTCGTCGGGCTTTAGTATTTTTGTCAGGTTGTCGATGGAGTTCTGGCAGAAGTTCAGGGAATCTTTAAATCGGATGTGATTGTATTCAAATTGGATATATTTTGTACAGGTTTTGGGAACAGCGCGAAATGTGTCGTGTTCTTTGTCAAACCTTTTAAAAATTGCCTTCATTAAGTGCATCCCGTCATACGACGTTGAGTTATGGCATATTGCATTGATGTAGCGCCGCTGCTCTTTAAGAGCCAAATTACAAACGTCACACAAAGTTTTTGAAAAGTTGTCTAAATCTGGGGGAATTTCGTGGCGGTGGTGCCTAACCTTTTTTCTGATTGGGAGGCCGCCTTCATCGTAGAAAGGCTGCTCACACAGCTCGCAGCTAGTGGCAGTGTCAAAGCGTGCTTGCTGGGCGGGGGTGAGGTGGCTTATGGGCTGCGAGTCATACATTAACAAATGTTTTGAAATTTCATCCAATTCATTTACCAAGACATCGGCGGCATCACTTCCCTCGTAATATCGCGGCGATGCAACGAGGTGTCCCCTACAGTCAATTATAATATATGCAAAGCTATGCGCATCGTGTTTTTGGGTTCGCTCGCTCCAAGACGACCCGGGATTTTGCTGGCATCGGTGGACTGGACGCAAAATAGATTCAAAATCATAAATAATTTGCCAAGGCGCTGCCTCGCACGCTGCTAGCTTAGTAAACCTCAAATAAGCTTGTTCAGCTTTTGGCATCTGTGGTATCGGCCGGGTGAGCATATTGATGTCGCCCTGAGCTGCTCTACAAATCTCTTCATGTTCTTTTAATTTGGGCAGATCTATACAGGAATATAGGCACATATCGCAAAAATATGTTTTTTTATCGGATTTTCTAATTTGGGATGCAAATAAGCCGGATTTATCTGTAATGGCAAGATAGTGGCCGTGGAGGAATAAAAGTGAAACGCAGTGTGGGCGCTCCCACCTATACTTTGAAGCACGATATGGGTAAAATTGCAATTTACCTTTAATTCGCAGACACTTAAATATTGCCACGGCTATATTTTGATTGTTTTTTTCAAATGTACTCACATCGGCCAAGCCGGTGGGAAAAGACACCCCCGTGCAATCATAGTTGCACTCTCTCTCTTCATAAAACTGCAGACTTTTGAACATTTTTTTATTTTTTACTTTTTCTACATTAAATCCAATACATGCGATTACAGAATATAAAAAACATTTGTTGTTATTATTGGGGGGGTTAACTAAATATCTAGACTTATGGTATAGCTCTTTAGGGAGGTAGGTGTTACAGCCTCCTAAAAGTGGTTGGGCTAGGACACAATGAATTTCTAAAAGTTCACATTGTAAAAAATAAAAATTACTACCTTCTTTAGAGTAGGCGTCCAGCTGACTTAATAGCTCCATACATAGTTTCTGAACAAGTGTGCGAGTGCCTAAATCCTCGTCTTGCTGAGCATTAGCTGAAATAGCCAATCTATTTGATCTTAATTTCGCTACGACCCGTTTTTCGGGCGTCCCATCCACCTGGGAAACAAAATCACCTCCCTCATCATACTTTCCCAAAAGCGCTTCAACATATAAAAAACAGTGCACCGCATTGCCACTCTCCAATAATCTATTTATAATGGTTACAAAAAGATTGATATAATGGAATAAACTTAAATTAAGGTCTCCCGCCACCCCTGGATTATTTTCTAAAACTACCTGAAACCTTAAAGCGGACCTTTCAAATGCGCTTTGAACAATACGAATTTGGTCCTTTAAATCGTCAAAGTTGGCCTCCCCGGGCGTTTCAAGAACGACCTGGTTTGGGTGTGTTTCGGTCAAATGTCGTTGTAGCCTCCATCTAGTCGAGTATGCGCGTGTGCAAATTGGGCATGGATGTGCTGCTGTTGGCCCGTCTGTCTTATGGTGTTCTTTAATATGGCGGTTGAGCGAGCTTTTGTGTTTGAAATTTTTATTACAATGTGGGCAGGGAAAGTTGCTGATCGGACGATCCGAATCCATTGCCCCCCCTCAATGTCTCGCTAAGTGTGTCTGTAAGATTAAGTACCGGCGCCACAAATGGAATTACAACTAGTTGGGCAATTTTACTAAATCCCCTAATTTTTTTGCTGCGATAGCCAACGTTTGTCAAAACCACGGATATCCCGGCGCGGTAGTCCGGGTCAATCAAACCAATGTGGACGTTAATCCCGGCACAGGCGTGGGAAGACCGCCCCAAGATAAGACCAAATGTATTCACAGGTAAAGCTATAGCAATATTGGTTGGAACTTTTGTAGGTTTTGCTGGTTCTAATACCACGTCCTCGCAGGAATATAGGTCGTAACCAGCAGCCTGAAGATAGGCCCTTGTCGGAAGGACTGCCGTTGGGACCAGTTTTTGCACATCCATTGAAACCTGAATACATAATTTAGATTTAGTCCTCGGGTGTAATTCTTACATTGTGCGATTGGTCTGCAGCGCCTTCCCAAATTAGTTTCCATTTTTTACCCATCCCTATTTCAGAATTAATTTCGCCGATGAACTCTTTCATATCCGCGAATCGCTTTGGCAGGTATATCTTTTTAAGAACCCCATCAACGGTGATTGATGCGGAAATACAGTCTCCGAATTTGGAGTCGAAGACCTCTAAACTGCGAATTGGGTAAGCGCGATTGAGAGCGAGATCGTCAAATTTAATACGCTGCGGAGAAACGGCGAGGGCCGATAGTCTGTCTCGGAGGATGTTCATTGTCGGTCTGAAAAGACATAATAGTCGGGTTATTGTTGAATTTCTTTTAAAATAAACTCCTTTGCCGCTTGGACATTTTTCTCGAGGTCCCTATCGCCGATGCCTACATCTAAAACCAAAACATTTCCCCACTCCTCCTCGGCCAGGTTTGAGAACCAAAGTTCGTGAAATCTGTGTATCAGATCAAAGTAGGACTGCGTGTAATTTGCCTCTTCAATTCTACCCCTCTTCTTGCATCGAGCAAAGCAGTTCTCAGGTGTGTCTCGCAAATAGATGTAATAATCGGGATGTGCAGATCGAAACGGATCTTTACTTGATTGCATTATTGCGCTCAGGGTTTGGTATGTTGACGCCCGCATTTTATTTAGCGAGCACAGAGCCTTCCAAAAGACACGTTTTTGTGTCTGCACACTCCGTTCGCTTATCGCAAGCGCCGAGTTGTCGTGGTAGTTTGGATAAAAGCTTGTTGACAGAGCATAATGCTGGAAGTTAGTAATTTGGTCGAGATCGTCTGAGCTAGAAGCAAGGGCTTCCTGCAGAAGGTTGAAGTCGCCTACATGACGCCACAAATTGAGACCTTCCGGCAAAATACAGGCCGAAGGAAATTCATTTGCCAATTTGGATAAAAATGTAGATTTCGTCGCCCCTATATTTCCCTCGATAGACACTCTTGTAAAGGGTGGCATGTTCGGCTTACCTTGGACGGTTTAGAAGGTTTATGATTAGCGGACGAAAAGGTGGCGATCTTCGTATCTGTAAAGAGGACCTAGACTTAGAATGCAAGTTCTTCCAAATGGTATCCACCCACCCCCCAGTTCAATTAGCCGCCATTTTGTCTCGGTTCTAAGTGATATCATTCTTAAGGCGGGCGAATTTTTTGCAAACTTACGAACTAGTGAGATAATGCTAAAAATACCGATTTTTGAATATTTGTATGAAATATCCACAGACTGAAGTTTTGGCCAGCTATATCCCAAAAAATGTCGGCTAAACTGAATATGCCCTTGAACGCCACGCAGTGAAATATGATGTGTAATTAATAGTTGCTGGGCATATGAGCGTGCGCTGGTTGGACTCGTTAGCGCTTCCGAAATATAATCTAAATTGGCAATATACGTGATTTGAATCTGATTTGTTAGAAGCAGTCGCGCTAGGCGACGCCTTTCGAATCTCCATTTTGAACAGCAGCCCCGCTGGTACTCCGAAAAGCCAAAAATTGACAAAGTTGAGACGTGCCAATATTTAATTCTTTTGTATAAATATCTGAAATCCTCTGTAGCTCGCTGCGGCGTCGGTGGATTAATGACATGGACTTCGTGTTTTCTATGTCGACGCACGTAGTCGTGGCATATTGCGTTAAATCGAGATGATACTGATGATAGCCTTATTATATCTGGGACCGCCAGGTAGGTAAGCACACGCTCCAAACAGTCGTTGTTTAAATTATTCATTACTCACAATATTAGGAGTCCGCAGTATGTGTCAGGTGCCGGGTTGCAGGGTGTTCTGAAATGGGACAAATAGACAAATTTGTAATGAGTTGTTTATTTTAAAATATATTCATGGCTAGTTAGATTACAATCGGTACAGCAATTTTTAAAAAGCTGCCTTGGCTCTTCATAACCATCTATTTCAACTACGCTAACATCCGCTGGGATAATTATGCGAAAGTGCTCGAGCGGGCTTTTAACATTTAGAAGAAATCTGTTTACTATGTCAAAGCACTCCGCATAGCCATAATTTGTATAACAATGAGAAATGCTGGAAAAATAAAACTGCACGCTGTCAATGTTTAATAAACACCAGCATTGATCAACTGCCGAGGCAGGGTCTAATTGAATATTAACAGAATCCCCCCTCTCTAAGCAGGAAGCTAGCGCTAAATAGTCCCAATTGGCTCGGAAAATATTATCGGCGGCCCATTTTAACCGTTTTAAATAATCCACATTCCTAGCAAGATTATTATATCTCTCAATTGACCTCTCCAAAATCTTTCGCAGCATGATGATTGTCACAGGGCCGGCCCGGTCGTGAATGGAGTAAAACAACATTTTAATCACAAACTCAAAGCTTGTGATGTGCGCCCACTTGCACACAAGCTCTAACCACGCCAACTTTGCCCGATCATTGGGCACGACACTCATTGACTTGGCAGTTAAATTAAAAAGGGATTTGGGGGATTTTACAATATTTAGGGGAATGCCATTTGTGCGCTGTGGACCCATTCCTTGAAATTGGACTCTGCCAAAAAATAGAGAATGAGGAATGTTTAAGCATTGTGAATTGGGAAGCCCACCGATACCTAAGTCGACTCCTTTTTCACCTCATACCGAAAAGATGTCCTACGACATTTACTGCAACATGTAAACATCTTTATTGGAGATTCATAATTACGGATTCGTGGCGGCACCGTTTTGTGTGGCAGCACCAATTTTACAATTTTGACCAATTTGGGAAAACATAAAACAAATCCAATTACCGAAAAAAACATTCTATCGCTTGCATAGCTTTCACCCAAAATAAGAGTAAGAACTTGGACGTTGTACGTGAACCAGACAGGATCGGGATAATTGTGTGCCATCCTCATTGTTAGCATTGCAGGTTTTTTTTTATCAAATGCACAGTTTACAAATGTCTCTAAATCCATCCCGTTAATACTAAAGTCCTCTACATCGCTCCCCCGCATACTGTTGTTGATCCATCTTAGTTGATGGGGCCATTGTACCGCATCTATTAGGCCGTGCGATGGCCAGTCGCGTGTCCGCTCACACGCATCCCGAATTAGTGGCAGAATTTCAACCCACGTTGGAATTCCGCCAAACCAATATAACTCAAGAACAATGGATCGTATAATTCTTTCAAAAACTCTGATGTGTTGTAGGGGGCAAATATATTTCAAAACTTCTATCAGCCAGAAGCGACGGCTCATGCACTCATTCCTTTCTGTTATTTCCCATGCACACAGTTGTTCTAGGCTCGGTGGCGTGTGAACCATTCTCACCTGTTATAAATCCGCGGTAGCGCACTGAGCCGCTTTCTCTGGGGCTGTATCGGCGAGGCGGGGCGTGGCGGCGCGGGGCGGGGCGGTGCGGGGCGGTGCTGCGCTTCACTGCACGGGGCTGAAACAAGGAGCGTGGTGAGTCACCTTGCTGCGCCGTAGGGCTATGCATCCCATCGCACTCCGCCGTGCTCCGTCAACTTACCTCAGTAGGGCAGGGCGGGGCCGCGCTTCACTGCACTGCGCTAAAACAGAGAGAGAGAGAGCCGTGAGTCGCGTCGCTTTCGCAGCGCCTTGGGACTAGGCATCCCATCGTAATTCCATCTGAGCGGCTGGGGGCCCAGCCTGTCCGCAGCGGGGCATGGAGTGGTGGGGCCGGCGGGTAAGGCATGGCGGGCGCGACGGCTCCAGCGGAGGTAGCGGGCGTAGTCGGGAGCGGCGGGGCGGGGCGTGGCGGGGCGCGGCGTGGCCGAGGCAACCGGCCCGGCGCGGCATCGTATTAGCGGTCAAGTTTGCGACAGTGGCCTCGGGGCGGGGCGTGAAGGTGGCAAGATGGCTCCG